ATAATTTGAAAAAGTCATGAGAGAAAAGTGGCAGTCAAAAGTAAATGTTGATAATAATAATTATTATTATTATTATTATTATTATTATTATTATTATTATCATTATTATTATTATTGTTATAGTGATAATAGTAGTAGTAGTAATAATAATAATAATAATAATAATAATAATAATAATAATAACAATAATGATAATAACAATAATAATAATAATAATAATAATAATAATAACAATAACAACAACAACAACAACAACAACAAGAACAACAACAACAATAATAATAAAAATAAATAGGCACGAAAATAAAGTTAAAAAATGGAAGTAAAAAATAAAAAGTCGAAAAGGAAAAATTGTCAAGTCAAAAGTCATAAAAGTAAAAAAAGAAAAAAAGTCATGAAAGTCAATCTGTGTGTGTGTGTGTATATCTATATCTATATCTATCTATCTATCTTTATATATATATATATATATATATATATATATATATATATATATATATATATATATATATATGCATGTATGTATTTGTATATAATTATTCGTGACGAAAGTATTTGTAAAGAAATAGATATCTCAATATGTCAATATTTTGCTTTATTTGGTCAACTTGAAGGAAAAACAGTTTCAAGAATAATCAAAATTACACTTATAGATTATAATTTTATTCAATACTTACACCAAGACATTAAAAAATCATGGAACCTGAGACACTACATACTATAAAATAAATACATAAATGCCATTACCTTGAAACACCCGAAATATATGCGAGTGGTTATTTTTTACATTCATTATACAACAAAGCGATATATATCATAACAGAGCAGTGTACAGCATAGCATGGAGGTATTGTATAATCCAGCAGTGCGTAGAATACCACAGCAATACAAGGTATGACATGCTGTTATTTCAATTAATCGTGTAACATAATTCCATACATATATTTTTTCTTTTCTTTTCTTCCTTTTCATCAACCATATCATCATTTTCGTCTTGCTTCCCCTCTCCTCTTCCTCATCATCATCATCATCGTCGTCGTCGTCGTCATCGTCATCATTATTATCGTCATCATCATCATTATCATTATCATTATCATTATTATCATTATCATTATCATTATCATCATTATCATTATCAATTATCATTGTCATTATCATTATCATTATCATTATCATTATCATTATCATCATTATCATTATCAATTATCATTGTCATTATCATTATCAATCATCATTATCATCATCATCATCACCACCACCACATAACCAGCACAAATAAGAACCCACAAAGAGAGAAAAGGCATCATCCAATACGCCTTGTTTCCTTATATAAGATAAAAAAAAAAAAAATATTTAGCGACCGCCAGGATGAAGAACCATTCTGGAAGGTTCTACGAGACACAACTGTTGCAGCTTTTCGACGTTGAATGGCGCCTCTGCAAGGGAGGACGAATGCAATATTAGCAATTTTAGGGATAATGATAGTAATAGGTAGATTTTGTTTTACTTAATTGCAAGTGAATTATTATTATCATGATTATCATTACTATTATCACTATTATTATCATCATCAATATTAGTATTATCGGGATTATTATCATTATCATTATTGCGATCATCATAATAATCGTACTATTATTATCATAATAATCCCAACAACAACGACAATAGCAATAATAAAAACAGCAATAACAACAATGACAATAATACTAGTAATAACCACGGAGTATAGACTGCGGCAATTAGGCCTACCTATGTCGAACCAGCCCGCGGTGCCCCCGTCCTCCCTGGCACTGGCGACCGCATTCCGTAGTGCCATCAGCACGGTATACGAAAGAGGCACTGGTGGCTCGGACGTGGCTGATGGGCGGAAGGGAAGGCATAAGGATTATAATGATAGTGAAGTGGTGAAGGCTTTGGGGATGGTGATATAATGGTGGTGATGGTTATGGTGATGGTTTTGTGTGGTGACAGCAGTGGTGTTGAGAGTGATGTGGCGATGGCGGCGGTGGTGATAATGCAATAGTGATGGTGGTTATGTTGGCTGTGACAGTGGTGGGTGATGGTGACGATGATGATCACAATGGCATAGGTGGGAGCAGTAATGATGGTGAATATGGTGATAATGATATGGATTAAAAAAACGCTGTACTGTATATGGAAGATGAATGTTTTTTTTTAGCACTTGGGTATACTCCTTTACGAGCTTTCCAATGGTAATGGAATTATTCTCCTCCGGCTAATAACTGGACTTCTCGATCTCAAAGGTCGACTGCACTCACTTGAAAAAAAAAAAAAAAAAAAAAAAAAAAAAAAAAACGGCAAGCTGAGACTTCTTTCTTTCTCTCTCTCCGCTTGGAAAAGGGAAATTTGTTTGTTCTTATCAAGGCGAAGATCTCCGGAGAGGTTGCAGGGGAGTGGTCGAATGCAATATACCCAGATAACATCAGTAACATCAAATACCTTCAAAATAATTACCATCGCCACCCTATTGATTATGAGTTCATTACCACACAATCAACCTGGCTTCAGTCATCGCCATTTTGATAATAATGATAATAGTCCAGTGTTGGTATTCACACTTACCTTCAATCGACACGGAAAAAACACGTTTTTAACTCATTTCTTCGGTATACAACAATTCTATTTTGTTTGTATTTACCTATCTTTTCAACAGTATCTCCTTTATATTTAACATATTTCATATATCTTTTTTCATGCACGCTGTACTATCCCATTTATATATTCAGAATTTGTATGAGACAGCGACCCCCCGACGACAAATCCTTGACCCGAACTTTTATATACCTCCAGATGACGAGCAGGAGATTTAGGACCCAAAAGCACTCACCCTTCGAGTCGAGGACGCCGGTAGGGTTGGGCGTGTTAGACAGAAGGGACACCCGGAAGTCAGCTGGGACGTCGTGGGCGGTGGGAACCTGGTAGTGCTGTGGGCGTGATAAGGTGTGATTTTTGAGTGTTAGTAAACTCCCCCAGTATTATTCTATTCTGACGAGGAAGTAATGTCTTTCATTTAAATCTTCTTCCCGCGTTTCCTTCACTCTCCCTTCCCTCTTTCTTTCCTTCCTTCCTTCCTTCTGTCCCTCCATTCCTCCTTCCCTCCCTCCCTCCCTCCATTCCTGCTTCCCTTCATCCCTCACACACTCACTCACTCCTTCCATCCCTTCCTCCGTCTTCCTCTTTCCTTCCCTCCTTTCCTCCGTCTTCCTCTTTCCTTCCCTCCTTTCCTCCGTCTTCCTCTTTCCTTCCCTCCTTTCCTCCGTCTTCCTCTTTCCTTCCCTCCCTCTCTCACCCATGTGCCATCCGTGACCCTCCTCCCAGTGACGAGATCGTAGATCGCCTCCCTTCCCTCCCTTCCCTTCCTCCCTCCCTCCTCCCTCCCCTCCCTCTTCCCTCCTCCCCTACCCTCCTTCCCCTCCCTCTCTCCCTCCCTCCTTCCCTCCCTCCTTCCCCTCCCTCCTCTCCCTCCTCCCATCCCCTCCCTCCTTCCCTCCCATCCCTCCCTCCCTCTCTCACCCATGTCCCATCCGTGACCTTCCTCCCAGTGACGAGATCGTAGATCGCCTCACCCCCTCCTTCCCTCTCTCTCCCCTTCCCTCCCTCTCTCCCTCCCTCCTCCCCTCCCTCTCTCCCATCCCTCCCTCCCTCCTCTCCCTCCTTCCCTCCTTCCCCTCCCTCCTTCCCTCCCTTCCCTCCCTCCCTCTCTCACCCATGTGCCATCCGTGATCCTCTTCCCACTGGCGGAGTCGTAGATGGCCTTCTCCGACGTGAAGAGGCCCTGGCCCATGACGAAGCCGCCCTCCACCTGCGCCACGTCGACCAAGGGGCTCATGCTCGTGCCTGCGTCCTGGAGGATATCCGTGCGGAGGACCTGGGGGTGGGAGGAGGGGGGGGGCATTAGCGTGAGGTAGGTCGTTGTTTTTGTTTTGTTTTCTTTTCTTTTTTTTGTCTTTGTTTCTGTTTTTTTCTGAGGAGAGGGTTGGTAAACGCTGTTTGAATAATAATGATAATTATGTGGGGGTTTTGGTATTTATGATGATGGCTGGTTGAAAAGAAATAAGGAAAATTTTAAAAGATGGAGGAAAGGAGGAGGGGGGAGAGGAAAGGTTTTGGTTGCGTTTGATATTTAGCTATTTTATTTTTTCATTCATTTATCTATTTAGTGACAGATAAATTTGTTAATGTGTTTCTTTTTTCTCTTTTTTTTTGGGGGGGAGATTAGCTTAAAAAAGAATATGAAGATATATATATATATATATATATATATATATATAGAGAGAGAGAGAGAGAGAGAGAGAGAGAGAGAGAGAGAGAGAGAGAGAGAGAGAGAGAGAGAGAGAGGGAGAGAGAGAGAGAGAGAGAGAGAGAGAGAGAGAGAGAGAGAGAGAGGGAGAGAGAGAGAGAGAGAGAGAGAGAGAGAGAGAGAGAGAGAGAGAGAGAGGGAGAGAGAGAGAGAGAGAGAGAGAGAGAGAGAGAGAGAGAGAGAGAGAGGGAGAGAGAGAGAGAGAGAGAGAGAGAGAGAGAGAGAGAGAGAGAGAGAGAGAGAGAGGGAGAGAGAGAGAGAGAGAGAGAGAGAGAGAGAGAGAGAGAGAGAGAGAGAGAGAAAGAGAGAGAGGGAGAGGGAAAGAGATAGAGAGAAAGAGAGAGAGAGAGAGAAAGACAGAGAGAGTGAAAGAGAGAGAGAGAGGGACCGACATACACACAACAAATACACACGGCCAGAAAAAATAAAGAGAGAAAAAAAATAAACGAGAATGAGAAAATAAAACGTACAAACACAAATATACCACAAACGAAAACAAAAAACGCAACCCATATCACAAATGCAGAGAGAAATAACCAGCCAACACTTCCCACTTCGAAGTCTTACCAAGAACTGGCCGGTGAGGACGTCCAGCTCGACCTCAGAGCAGCAAACGCCGAATACGGGGTAGGATTGAACCTCGCCTGGACCGTTGCTGAAATGAGAGATCTTTTATTGATTTGGTTTGATTTCTTTCTTCCTTTCTTTCTTTCTTTCTTTCTTTCTTTCTTTCTTTTTCTTTCATTTTTTTTCTTTATTTGTATTCATTCTTTTATTTATTCATTCATTTATTTATTTGTTTATTTGTTTATCTGTTTATTTATCTATTTGTCTTTAATTATTTCTTAGGAAGATTGTTTGTCTTTTGTTTTTCTGGGGGGGGTTTGGTTTGTTTGTTTCAATTTTTTGTTGTTGTCTTTGGTGTCTATGCTTGTTTTGTTTTATTATGTTATTGTTTTCTATTTTCTTTTTTTGTTACTATTTTGTCGTTTGGTTTCTGCTTTTTGATTATTGTTTTTTTTTCATCCGTATGTCTACTGATAAGAATGTTTTACCATTTTGTGTGTGAAGAAATATGATTTTTTGTGAAAAATATGAATATTTTGAGTGAGTAGAAATATGATTTTTTTTATGAAGAAATATGTATATTTTTGTTGAATATTTTTTGCGTGAAGAAATGTGAATATTTTTATTTGAAGAAATATGAATATTTTTTTATGTGAAGAAATGTGAATACTTTTATTTGAAGAAATATGATTTTTTTGTGTGAAGAATTTCGAATATTTTTATTTGAAGAAATCTGGATATTTTTTGTGTGAAATCTGAATATTTTTATTCGAAATAATAAGAATATTTTGTGTGTGAAGAAATATGAATATTTTTATTTGAAGAAATATGAATATTTTTTGGGTGAAAAATAGGAATATTTTTGTGTGAAGAAAAATGAATATTTTCTGTATGAAGAAATATTAATAAGTTCGTTTGTGTGTATCTGTTTGTGTTTGTATGTCTGTGTGTTTGTGTGCTTACATGCGTGTGCGCATACGTGCGTGAAGAAAAAAAAAACATTCAAGTGTGTGTGTGTCAGTAAACACAAATATCCCACCCAAAGCACACCCACTCACCAATATCTTTCGCTTATATCGACGCCCTTGTTGGCCGCCGCCTCGATCAGGTCCTTCCACGAAATGTCCTCGACGCCCAGGGAATGCTTCACGGTGTCCAGTCGCGCGCGGAGCTTCTTGCACGCCTCACTCACGCTCTGTGGGAGGGGGCGCTTTGCGGTAGGCCTTGTCGGGGAGTTTACAGGGGCGTTGCGGTGTTTTCATTTGGTTGTTGTTATTGTTATTATTTGTATTTTTATCACTATTATTATTATTATTTTTATTATTATTACTATTATTATTATTATTATTATTATTATTATTATTATTATTGTTGTTGTTGTTGTTATTATTATTATTATTATTATTATTATTATTATTATTATTATTATTATTATTATTATTATTATTATTATTATTATTATTATTATCATTATTATTATTATTAATTATTATTATTATTATTATTATTATTATCATTATTATTATTATTGTTGTTGTTATTATTATTATTATTATTATTATTATTATTTTCATTATTGTTGTTATTATTATTATTATTATTATTATTGTTATTATTATTATTATCATTACTATTGCTATTACTATTATTACTATTATTATTATTATTACTATTATATTTTTTTTATTATTATCATTACTACTACTATTATATTAAGATTATAATGTAAATAATGACTAAAATAATAATAATGATAATATTGATAACAATTACAATAATATAACAACAGAAATAGCAATAATGCTAATAGCAATAACAAAAACAACAACAACAATAATAATATAATAACACTAACCAGAACAACAAAACCAACAACGCGATATAAAACCAAGCAAACCATAACAATACAAAATAACACAAAACAATAAACAAGAATCACCAACAACAACAACCACACTGACCAAACCCCCCAATCCTGAACGACCCTCCTTACGTAGGCTGTGGTGTAGGAGCCGAGGGCGCCGCTCGTGACCTGGGAGTTGGCGTTCGTGTGCGAGGTCGTCGGCTTCACGGCAACGACCTCCATGGGGCATCCGAGCTCGTAGGACACCACCTGCACCACCTGGAGGGAGAAGGGGGGGGGAGAAGGAGGAGAGGGGGGATGAAGAACAGGAGGAGGAGGATGGGGGGAGAGCAAGGAAGGAGGGGAGGGGGAAGAGAGATAGGAGGGGAGGAGGAGGAAAGAAAAGGGGAAGAGGGAGAGGGAGACAAAGGGGTGGGGGAGACAAAGGAAAGAGAAAAGAGGGAGTAGAAAGGGGAAGAAAGGGAGATAGGTGAGAAAGAGAAGACGAGGAAGAGGAAGGAGATGAGGAGGAAGAAAAGACAGTTGTTTGAAGTAGGACTGAATACAGCTTTTAGTAGTCGGTTTAATATAATTACATTTATTTTCTTTATTTTTGGCATTTCATTCTGTTTAGAGTAACAAAACCAATCGCCTTTTGACAGATTCAAACCACATTATTACATGAAAGAGAAGAAAAAAATAAACGGCAGTATAAGAAAAAAGAGGAATCACACGAGAGAAAAAAAGAGCAATACCAGTGGTCTTACCTTCGTGTTCAAGCCCTGTCCGAGCTCCGAGCCCCCATGAGACACGGCCACAGAGCCATCCCTCTGGTTAATGGACACCAGGGAGTTCATGGGGTAGAGGAGGGGGACCACGTGTGGCCACAGCATCGTCATCACCGAAATACCCCTCTTCTTCCAGAGGTGGTTCTGCGAAAAGGGGAGTCTCGTGAGAAATCGAGTTATATATATATATATATATATATATATATATATATATATATATATATATATATATATAGAGAGAGAGAGAGAGAGAGAGAGAGAGAGAGAGAGAGGAGAGAGAGAGAGAGAGAGAGAGAGAGAGAGAGAGAGAGAGAGAGAGAGAGAGAGAGAGAGAGAGAGAGAGAGAGAGAGAGAGAGAGAGAGAGAGAGAGGAGAGAGAGAGAGAGAGAGAGAGAGAGAGAGAGAGAGAGGAGAGAGAGAGAGAGAGAGAGAGAGAGAGAGAGAGAGAGGGAGAGAGAGAGAGAGAGAGAGAGAGAGAGAGAGAGAGAGAGAGAGAGAGAGAGAGAGAGGGAGGGAGAGAGAGAGAGAGAGAGAGAGAGAGAGAGAGAGAGAGAGAGAGAGAGAGGGAGAGAGAGAGAGAGAGAGAGAGAGAGAGAGAGAGAGAGAGAGAGAGAGAGAGAGGAGAGAGAGAGAGAGAGAGAGAGAGAGAGAGAGAGAGAGAGAGGAGAGAGAGAGAGAGAGAGAGAGAGAGAGAGAGAGAGAGGAGAGAGAGAGAGAGAGAGAGAGAGAGAGAGAGAGAGAGAGATTTTTTTTAGTTCGCTTGTGTGTTTAAGATACCCTTCAGTACCTAATCTTAATGGCAAAAGCGCGAAATATATGCGCTTTCGTTCCCGTGATAAAGCTGGCCTCGACTGACCTTGTTGAAGGTGTCGACCATCTGCTTTCGGTTCTCGACGTCGGCGCTGGACATCAGCTGAGTAAGCATGTCGCCAATGATGTTCTTCTCCACCTTGACTTCCTTGGGTATGGCGACGGCATCTGCATGTCAAAGGGATTCCATTAGGGTTGCTGATTCCCGTTGCAAATGCGTGTTGCATTACGTTGAAACATTGTTGGTGTGGGAGACTGTGTATACCTCTACGTGCGTCTTCATGAACATCCTTTTCCTTGTGGCTCATTTCATCAAACAGTCGAGTATAACTTTGTCTTACCTCGTCCACCCCTGCCGCAGCGAAGGCGAAAAACTCCCTCGCTAACACGTCTGAATGACCCATCCGGCATGAGGTTCCTCTGGCGTACGAGGAGGGGGTCTAGATTGAGAGCGACGGCCACGTGCTCTATGATCGTCTCCATGAGGGTAACGGCTTCGGTGGTTCCTGCAAAGAAAAGAGAACGGTATTTGAGCTAATATGCTTGTCCCTTTGCACGACGAAGCGCAACAACAGTAACCATATAAGTAAATACATCATCTACTGCAGTAACAACAAATCAAAACAAATTGATTGATTGATTATTTTGAATTATCTGCCGCGTCAAAAGCTAAGGTCTTTAGCGGAAAATTCTTTGTTGGATTGAAATGTTAGAATATTTAAAACTATTTGAAATTTTTATTCAATAAGTTTTATGAATAATAATAAATAACAATAAATATTATATTAAAAATCAAAGCATAAATATCATGCTCTAAATTATAACATTATTGAATAAATATTTTATATTATTGAATTTTATTAAAGATATTAGTCTCCCTAAGGAACCTAATCAGACCTATGTCACAATCCTCCCCCAATACATTTTTTTAGAGACAAGTACATATTGACAAATACATATGACAAAACAACAACAAAAACTTGTCTTTTTCCCCACCAGGCGTCCGCGTCCAGGTGTTATTGGGCGTGTTAGTGAGCACCGTGACAGGTGTTATCTCCCAGTTCGGACAGACGTAGCAGGACGGCACAGCAGGGGGGGAGGCGGTGTTGTTAGGGTCCACGTTCACGTAGCCTGCGTCGCTCGTCATCGTGGCCTGGACAGCCTGTAGCCTTCCCTCAGCATCGACGCCGACCTGCGGGAGAGATATCATTAGTTGAGATTGAGATTCTTTATACTAAGATTTATTGATCTATCTTATTTGTGCCTTTATTTGCTTGCTTTTTTGTTTAGCTATTCATTCGTCTGTTTACTTATGTTATAATAATAATAATAATAATAATAATAATAATAATAATAATAATAATAATAATAATAATAATAATAATAATAATAATAATAATAATAATAATAATAATAATAATAATAATAATAATAATAATAATAATAATAATAATAATAATAATAATAATAATAATAATAATAATAATAATAATAATAATAATAATAATAATAATAATAATAATAATAATAATAATAATAATAATAATAATAATAATAATAATAATAATAATAATAATAATAATAATAATAATAATAATAATAATAATAATAATAATAATAATAATAATAATAATAATAATAATAATAATAATAATAATAATAATAATAATAATAATAATAATAATAATAATAATAATAATAATAATAATAATAATAATAATAATAATAATAATAATAATAATAATAATAATAATAATAATAATAATAATAATAATAATAATAATAATAATAATAATAATAATAATAATAATAATAATAATAATAATAATAATAATAATAATAATAATAATAATAATAATAATAATAATAATAATAATAATAATAATAATAATAATAATAATAATAATAATAATAATAATAATAATAATAATAATAATAATAATAATAATAATAATAATAATAATAATAATAATAATAATAATAATAATAATAATAATAATAATAATAATAATAATAATAATAATAATAATAATAATAATAATAATAATAATAATAATAATAATAATAATAATAATAATAATAATAATAATAATAATAATAATAATAATAATAATAATAATAATAATAATAATAATAATAATAATAATAATAATAATAATAATAATAATAATAATAATAATAATAATAATAATAATAATAATAATAATAATAATAATAATAATAATAATAATAATAATAATAATAATAATAATAATAATAATAATAATAATAATAATAATAATAATAATAATAATAATAATAATAATAATAATAATAATAATAATAATAATAATAATAATAATAATAATAATAATAATAATAATAATAATAATAATAATAATAATAATAATAATAATAATAATAATAATAATAATAATAATAATAATAATAATAATAATAATAATAATAATAATAATAATAATAATAATAATAATAATAATAATAATAATAATAATAATAATAATAATAATAATAATAATAATAATAATAATAATAATAATAATAATAATAATAATAATAATAATAATAATAATAATAATAATAATAATAATAATAATAATAATAATAATAATAATAATAATAATAATAATAATAATAATAATAATAATAATAATAATAATAATAATAATAATAATAATAATAATAATAATAATAATAATAATAATAATAATAATAATAATAATAATAATAATAATAATAATAATAATAATAATAATAATAATAATAATAATAATAATAATAATAATAATAATAATAATAATAATAATAATAATAATAATAATAATAATAATAATAATAATAATAATAATAATAATAATAATAATAATAATAATAATAATAATAATAATAATAATAATAATAATAATAATAATAATAATAATAATAATAATAATAATAATAATAATAATAATAATAATAATAATAATAATAATAATAATAATAATAATAATAATAATAATAATAATAATAATAATAATAATAATAATAATAATAATAATAATAATAATAATAATAATAATAATAATAATAATAATAATAATAATAATAATAATAATAATAATAATAATAATAATAATAATAATAATAATAATAATAATAATAATAATAATAATAATAATAATAATAATAATAATAATAATAATAATAATAATAATAATAATAATAATAATAATAATAATAATAATAATAATAATAATAATAATAATAATAATAATAATAATAATAATAATAATAATAATAATAATAATAATAATAATAATAATAATAATAATAATAATAATAATAATAATAATAATAATAATAATAATAATAATAATAATAATAATAATAATAATAATAATAATAATAATAATAATAATAATAATAATAATAATAATAATAATAATAATAATAATAATAATAATAATAATAATAATAATAATAATAATAATAATAATAATAATAATAATAATAATAATAATAATAATAATAATAATAATAATAATAATAATAATAATAATAATAATAATAATAATAATAATAATAATAATAATAATAATAATAATAATAATAATAATAATAATAATAATAATAATAATAATAATAATAATAATAATAATAATAATAATAATAATAATAATAATAATAATAATAATAATAATAATAATAATAATAATAATAATAATAATAATAATATGATAATGATAATAATAATGATAATAATAATAAAAATAATAATAATAATAATAATAATAATAATGATAATAATAATAATGATAATATAAAGTGTTACCAGGTTCTCCATGTAGGAATGGTACCCCCAACTTAGTGAAAGGTTGCTACAATAATATTATTAATGAAGATTATATTAATGATAAAGTATTACCTGGTTCTCCATGTAGAAGTGATACTGCCAGTCGTGACCCACGCCGCCCTCCAGCACGTGAGTCGAGGCAGCGAACCCGGCTGGAAATACGTTCGATATTCCATGGAAAAATACATTATTTGTTAATATACCAGTGTTCAGTCTGATGTTCGTAGTTAATATTGTTAACTATCAAGTCGGGATACGTCATACGATTTTAGAGGATAATAATAATTGAAGAATGTGTCCCAAACAAGCGATACGCATTACAATCCTGATTAAATCTGCCTTAGACCTCGACGACCTACGAACTAAGCACAGAGGTCCCGAGAAGAAACAAAGACCCCACTACCGATCTGTACTTCCTGAGTAAAGCCACACTCGACACTGCTCACCCTCCACATCGCCCTCCACGAACGGGTCGCCTTGCGGGGAGGGAAGAGGCAACTGCTGTGCTTCCTTGATCGTCAGCACGGGGGCCTGGATGTCGTCGTACGTGACCACGACGGCAGCGGCTCCTTGCTTGCTGAGTTCAGCGGTCTTTGCAACGATCAGGCCCAGAGGCTGCCCGAAGTACGAGCTCCTCTCCTCGGCGAAGAGCTGTGCGGAGGAGTCAGAGATAAGACTCATTTTAGAATTAAGAATGCTTCTTTGGGGGAAATGACAGATCGAACTGTGTTTCTGTTAGGTCATGTACGTAGAGCTGCATGTTTTGGGAGAACAGTTGAACATGTTTCTATTTATCTATCTATCTTTGTCACACGAATTCGTGTAACAAAGCTTTAAAAATTTCCACTTTCTTCGCTTATACAGTAAAGAGTCATAGGAACACAGAGTAAGCAACAACCACCCTAAGAAACAACAACTCCAATCCTACCGGTTCGGGGAAAGGCCACTGCAGAACCTGGATGTTGTTGATCCCTGTTATGTCCTCGATCCCGACAAAGCCCTCGACTCCTGGGATTGCCTGGAGAGAGACAAGGTGGGGATTGGCATTGGCGAACTGCGCTGGTTGGGTATGTTTCCGTAAAAAAAGCTCAAGTTGGGTTAAGGTTCTGTTGATAGGATTGGGATAAGACGTTCTGGTTTAAGTAGTTTGGATATAGTTTTCCTCTTTAATCCCCCGTTCTTTTTCCCCAACTCGACTTTCTTTTTATTCATTTATTCAGGTTCATATTTCTTTCTCCCAATTTCCTCCTCGTCTTCACTTTCCCAATTTCTTTCACCTTTTCAACCAATGTTCTCCTCTTCCCGGATTCTGCTTTTATCTTTCCCCCTTTTACCTAACCTTTTTCATCTTCTTGTAAACTTTTCTCTTTCTTTCACTCTTCTTTTCCTTCTTCTTATTATTATTATTCTTTTTCTTCCCCCTCCTCCTTCTCCTCCTCCTCCTCCTCCTCCTCCTCCTCCTCCTCCTCCTCCTCCTCCTCCTCCTCCTCCTCCTCCTCCTCCTCCCCTTCCTCTTCTTCCTACTTTTTCCTCCTCTCTCCTCCTCCCCCTCCCTTTCCCCAACCCCTCCCCTTCTTCGTCCTCCCTTCCTTTCCCCCTTCCCCTGCCCTCCCCTTTTCCTCTTTCCTACCCTCTCCCCCTCCCCTTCCCCTAACCCCTCTCCCTCTCCCTATTCCCCTAACCCCTCTCCCTCCCCTTCCCCTACCCTTCTCCCTCCCCTTCCCCTAACCCCTCTCCCTCTCCCTATTCCCCTCCAATACTCACCAGAGCTGCCGATGTGTCAATGCTGACGATCCTGGCATTGGCCTGCGTGCTGGTGACGAAGCAGCCGCTCAGCTCCTCGCACATCGGGGGCAAGTCAGCTACGTAATCCGCCTCGCCTGTTGGTTGTGAAGGAATGGGGAGGGGGAAGTGAGAACGTGAAAGGGGGGAAGTTGAAATGGAAGAGGGGAAGAAGTAGATGGGAAATGGAAGAGGGGAGGAAATGGTGGATGGGATAGATTACTAGTTAAAGAGGTTGAAATGGAAGAGATGGGGATGTGGATGGGAAATGGAAGAGGGGATGAAATGGTGGATTGGATAGATTTCTAGTTAAAGAGGTTGAAATGGAAGAGGGGGGGAAGTGGGTGGGAAATGGAAGAGGGGAGGAAATGGTGGATGGGATAGATTGCTAGTTAAAGAGGTTGAAATGGAAGAGGGGGAGAAGTGGATGGGAAGTGGAAGAGGGGAGGAAATGGTGGATGGGGCCAAGTCCTAGGTAAAGAAGACGAAATGGAAAATGGGAAGAAGTGGAACAGATTTCTAGAGAAAGAAGTTGAAATGGGAAATAAACTATAGATGGGCAGAACAGATTGCTAGTTAAAAGGGTAGAAAAGGGAAAGGGGAAGATATTGTGGATAGGACTGATTCCTTGGTAAAGAAGTAGAAATAGAAGAAGGGAAGAAAGAGTGGATGGGACAGATTTCTAGATGAAGAAGTGAAAAGGGGAAAGGGGAAGAAATTGTGGATGGGACATATTCCCAGGTAAAGAAGTAGATATGGAAAAGGTGGAGAAAAAAAGGAACAAGAAGAAACTGAGGATAGTTTTACTCAACACATCTCCCGGAACTCCCACGACCTCAACAAATACACGATATTTTATCTTATAGAACGGACCCGCTCTCATTAGCTCTCCCTCGCCGCCTCCCTCTCCCACTCACCGCTGCACTGGATGTGGCCCTCGACTTTGGTGACGGGCTTCGAGAGGGGCCAACGGTCTGCGTTCTCGTCGTAGGTTTGCTGTCCGGTCGCCAGAGGTCTCTCGAGGTCTGACGCTCCGCTGGCAACACTGGCGTCAGCGATGTCTCCGACGATGCCGAGGATTGTCTAGAGGGAACGGAAGGAGGCGGTGAGTGACTGGCTAGAGCAGTGGGTCTTATCCTGAGGGGCGTCAGTAATTTCCAAGGAGGTGCGAGCTCTTGGGAAAAAGGAGTTTCTTTAATTATATTTGTCATTCTCTTGGCGAGAGAGTGGTGAAGTATTGAGAAGTTTAATAATAATCTGATCGATTCATATTGATGGAGACTAAGAACATATTTGTAATTTTCTTTAAAATCTGTGAGGGAATTGTATTTTTTATTATTTTTATAGATGCAAGGAACACAAAGTCCTAAAGGGGGCGTGGCAGTAAAAACGTTATGAACCAGTGGACTAGAGGGAGTGAAAGGATAGAATTTGACGTATGCTGCACCTAGGTGGATATTTGAGTGATGGCTGAAAATGTTTTCGTTTCGTCTGCTTTTTTTATGTATTCCTTGGTCAGCGACATTACAATAGCTATATCTAGTTTACACGAATTTACACGTATCTAGTATTTCTTAAATACAATAAATCATTAACCTTTGGAATTCAAAAGGCAACATTGATATTCGGGATTAACTGCCCCCTGAGTAAGACCCGTTGCTCGGTGGAATTACGATGGAAAAATCTAAGGGATAGGACTTTGCGGTATCTTAATTCATATGTTTTTTGTCGTCTGAGTTGGGAATGCTGTATGGGAGGAGTCTGAGAATATGTGAAATAATGAATATTATATATATATTTATATATATATGTATATATATATATATATATATATATATATATATATATATATATATATATATCTGTGTGTGTGTGTGTGTGTGTGTGTGTGTGTGTGTAAGTGTATGTGGAAGTGTGTGTGGAAGTGTGGAAGTGTGTGTGTGTGTGTGTGTGTGTGTGTGTGTGTGTGTGTGTGTGTGTGTGTGTGTGTGTGTGTGTGTGTGTGTGTGTGTGTGTGTGTGTGTGTGTGCGTGTGTGTGTTGTGTGTCAAAAAGTCGCAAACCACGATAGCAGGGTTATCAGGACCTGTTTGTGTAAACATTTTATATCTCTAGTCCATGTACCATATTCATCAACATCAGTAAATGCACGGATATTCTGAACTTCTTTATTATTTTTCTTACACCTCATTAGGTCGTCTTGAGCACTATACTCTGGCTATTGATAATGACGTGTTGGTGTTTTTTGAGCGACTTCTTGAGGCCTTAGTATCGTTTTGGGTTGGAACATGATTCATACCCTGACAACCTGCCGAGAGTACATCTTTATGACCGAGAGCACATCTGAGCGGCCAAGAGTGCATGTAAGTGGCCGAGAGCACATCTGAGCGGCCAAGAGTACATCTGAAAGCCGAGTGCACATCTGCGTGGCCGAGTGCACATCTTACCTTGTACAGCAGGCTCTGGGCAACATCAATCCTGTACTTCGCCGAGGGGTTTTCTGGCAGGTCGTCAGGATGGATCTCATCGCGAAGGGCCTTCAGAGCTGCCTGCACTACCGCTTCGTCTTCTAAGCTGTTATCCTCAAGAGCAGCTTCGGCGCCCCAAGCATGCAGCTGCAGAATGCAAAGGATGCGTTAATCTTAGAGGAAGATTATGTAATGTTTTTGCATTAGTGTTCTTTTGCACGTACTTACTTCAAACTACATCCGATCCTTAGAAAGATATTTACTTTGGTATGATGCAAATGCTACGACTTCACTCTTTTAATATAAGAACTCAGTATTATTGTATCACAACATCAGGGATAAAACCACGTAAAAAAGTACGTTCATGGTACTGTTATTAGTACAATCAAGGATTATATTCCTATCTCAGTGTTTAAAAGAAAGAGAGAGAGAGAAAGTAAGAGAGAGAGAGAGAGAGAGAGAGAGAGAGAGAGAGAGAGAGAGAGAGAGAGAGAGAGAGAGGGAGAGAGAGAGAGAGAGAGAGAGAGAGAGGGAGAGAGAGAGAGAGAGAGAGAGAGAGAGAGAGAGGAGAGAGAGAGAGAGAGAGAGAGAGAGAGAGAGAGAGAGAGAGAGAGAGAGAGGAGAGAGAGAGAGAGAGAGAGAGAGAGAGAGAGAGAGAGAGAGAGAGAGAGTAAGAGAGAGAGAGAGAATTAAGTTCCTTAGAGGGAAAATCATATCTCGTTGAAATTTGCAAATACTTTTTTTCTTTAGTCAAGGGCCAAAACCAAATGCAGAAAGGATATCGGGGGCAGGAAGAGGGGATAAACAGAAAAATTAAATAGAACAGAAAAAGCAATAAACATACAAGAAGAAGAGAGAAAAAAAGAAAAACGAATCACAGAAAAATAAATAACCTTTGAAAACGAAAAGAAGCAAAATACAGAAGCAATAAACGAAGAAGAAAACAAAAAATATAAAAGATCATAAATGGCAATAATAGACAATCTTCCTATACATACAAAGTCCTCATTGATGCCTCCGAACAGGATCAAGGGGCGCCCGATCACCGTGTGGGCGTTGGCGCTGTCCACCCGCATACTGAAGGCGGCGTTCATGTAGGCGTGGACGTTGGCGTTGCGAGGAGCGATCTGCAATGGTCGGAGAGCCAGGGGGGGGTGACCTCAAGGAAATAGATTTACGTACGTACACATGAAAACACGCATAAACACGCACGCACGCACACATATACACGCGTACACACACGCACATACAGACACACACACACACACACACACACACATACACACACACACACACACACACACACACACACACACATAAATATATATATATATATATATATATATATATATATATATATATATATATATATATATATATATATATATATGGCCACCATCAGTCGATGTCGACTTAGCATATATATATATATATATATATATATATATATATATATATATATATATATATATATATATATATATATATATATATATATATATATAGAAATACACAGAAACGAAGCATTTTACTCCAGGAAAAACAACAAAGGCCAGATCGACCTACTTTGAAGACCCTGAACGACACCTCCTCGCTGAGGGGCGGCACCCTGAGCTCCAGCATCACCCTCCGCTCCGCCTCGAAGTCCAGGTCCAGAAGGTGGTCGAGGGTGTGCTCCTTGTCTCCGCCGTAGGGGCTGCCTGAGGTACGATAGGGGAGCTTTGTTATCCTTGAATTAGCGTTGTTGTTATTGTTTTGCGAAGGAGTAAGAGATGTCGAAAAGAGAATGAAATAGGGATAGAAATAGAATGCGTTGATAATAGAGAGACATACAGACACTTAAAGAAAAAATTATTAAGTCCTTCCATGATAAAAATTGGGTTAAACTAAAATAGAAAAACAAGGAAGATCTCTTTTTTAAGAACTAACCTGACTTCACTACCGCCCCCGCTGCCATAAGGCTCAAGAAGACATCAGAGGGAAAGTCTTTGTGCGCTACTTTGATTGCAAAGTTGCCCGCCCAGCTGCCCATCTGCAAGGAAAGAGGATAATAGAGAACACGGGAATGTTCTAACCAGACGGTGTGACATATGGGTGAGTTTCTTTTTCATTCCTTGTGAAAAAAAGTTCAAAAGAGCATGTTAGGTAAGTAAGATATTTGTTTTGGTTATATCTATTATTGTATTTATCATTATTATTAAAATCATTATCATAGTTAGATAGCTTCATTATCAAGGTGGGTGGGTCGCGACTTTAAGAGGTCAGTGGGCCAGTTTGCTCAGCGTTCATATTGAGAATATGCATGAAGCTGTGCCTTTAAGGAATACTATATTCCAATTAGAAAAATAAAACTTGAACCGAATGCCGACCTTTATCTATAGTTTTAAAGTATGTTATATGGTCGAAAATTTGCCGCAGCTTCGAGAGTGTCAGAGGCTGGAAACCATTGCATTTTAGAAGCTTCTTACACATATAGAAATATTCAGACTAAAGAGGAATCCTCCCTTCTCTCCTCAAAAAAATAATGATAATCAGTTATTACTATTACGATAATTATCATTATCATTCATTACAATGATTATCATTATCATCATTACTATGATTATTATTATACGGCAACAGTAAGGATAATGGTAATAATAATAATGATAAATAATATGAAGAAGAAGAATGTTAATAAGAATCACAACAACAACAATAATAATAGTAGTAATAATAGTCCTAATAACAACAAAAAACATAATTCAGCCTCACTCACGTTCCTCAGAGCAGTTCCGCCCACTCTCTTCCACATCTTGACGATCTTCTCCGCAAAGCCGAAGCCGGACAGACTCTGCGAGGCGGTGGAGAATTCGGACATCAAGCGGCTGATGGAGACATTGGCGCCGAAGACCAAGCCAGACGGAGATGCTGCCACGCGGGAGAGCTCCGGGATGCTGGTGGTGGAGATGTAGGTACTGTAGGGCCCCTCGTTGTGGTATATGCCTGAGGGAGGGGCCGGGGGGAAGGGTTAGCGTCGGGTGGACCGTTTTCTCTATCTCGCTTTCCCATTTTCTGTTTCTTAGTTCGTCTGCTTGGATTCATTATTTTTTTCTTTTTCTTCCTCTTTGTTTCTCTTTATCTCTTTCCCTTTCTCTCTCTTTCTCTCTCTCTCTCTCTCTCTCTCTCTCTCTCTCTCTCTCTCTCTCTCTCTCTCTCTCTCTCTCTCTCTCTCTCTCTCCCTCTCCCTCTCCCTCTCCCTCTCCCTTTCCCTTTCCCTTTCCCTTTCCCTTTCCCTTCCCTTCCCTTCCCTTCCTTCTCCTTCTCCCTCTCCCTCTCCCTCTGCCTCTCCCTCTCCCGCTCCCGCTCCCTCTCCCTCCCTCCATCTTTCTATCTATTTTTCCATCTATTGACTTATCTCATGCAAACACACGCAGAAAAGGGAGATAACTTAATAAACCTTACTTATGCATCATGCTTACAAGTCTATGAAATTAAGAACTACAGAATGGAACAAGATCACAGGCCTACCGAGGGTCCTTAGACTTGCCTTTTGCTGTGTCACTGCATACAAACCGGTACTGGGCTCCCTGCGGCAAGCCACTTAGGATGTCGTAAAGTTCCTTTAAGAAAGACAACAACATATATTTAATCAGTATCTAATTCTCTTAGAGAGTATTTTAAATAATTCCTAAATCCTATGTTTGTGTTATCTAATGCCAGCAATTTCCTTTATTCTGTTTGATATTATTAATGGAGATTTTAGTAATTTTTGTATCTGTATTTCATTATCTAAGTCTGCAAAAGAGTATTTTCCTTTTATTATCATTACTATGCGACCCCAATGTCTAATGTTATTAATTTGCATTCATTATTCATTTATGACTTTAGTGATCAAGTTTGTGGGAGTAATTTTGCCTTTAATGCTGCTTTTAGTTGGATATTAGTAATAAATAATAGCAATTATTTAAATGTGTTGGTCTATACACGTATCTTTAATCAATTCCTCCTTTACCCCACCTATCAAAAATAATAATGAATACATAATAAATTGGAAGATAAGAAGTGCAGGGATTTTAGCGAAAATAAGAAGGTAAATTTGAACTAAAATCGAGTTAATAAAGAGAAAGAAAACACAAATACCTGAAGGGAAGCTGGTTGATGCCAGGTCGCATCTCTCAGCTGGAGGAGCCGAGACTCCGGCTTCTCACTTAGCTTCGAGCAGGAGCTTGTCTGGATATTAGTGAAGGGAAGAGAGATTGATGCTGTTACTAATGGTGATGATGCTGATAACAACAATAATAACAATTATCCTTATTCCTAATGGTAGTAATATTACATAGAAATCACAAAAGCTACAGTTAAATAATACCTTCATAAAAATAAGTAACAATAAAAGGCACAAGCAACGGAGTAAGAAATGCAAACTCTACCTTGGTGTCAGCTGATTTCAGCGAGCACCGACCCTTACAAGGCTGACCTGTTCGGGGACAGCTGAGTGTGTGGGCGTCCTGTTGAAGGCGAAAGAATATTACGTACGTGTATGTGTGTAAATATACATATATACACACACACATATATATATACCATATGTGTGTATATAAGTGTGTATATATTTAAATATATATATATTTTTTTTCAACAGCCATTCATTCCACTGCAGGACATAGGCCTCTCTCAATTCAGTATTGATTGGATGCCTTCCTAATCAACCGCGGTTCGGCGCGTTAACACCTGTGCCACGGCGGTGACTTCCCTACAACACCTACGTTTGACTTCTCAAGCCGATATGTCGTTTTCTCGGGCTCGAGATATATATATATATATATATATATATATATATATATATATATATATATATATATATATATATATATATATATATATATATATATACATACATGTTTTTTTTGGCGGCAATCAAAGCGCAGGCTTTTTTACTATCGCCGCGACGGGGTATTGAACTCGGGACCACGAGGGTCGGAGTCCAGTGCTCTAACCACTAGACCATCGCAGCTGCCTATGCATATATATATGTGTGTGTGTGTGTGTGTGTGTGTGTGTGTGTGTGTGTGTGTGTGTGTGTGTGTGTGTGTGTGTGTGTGTGTGTGTTTGTGTTTGTGTGTGTGTGTGTGTGTGTGTGTGAGTGTGTGTGTGTGTGCACATATCGTTTGCCATATATGTAAACCTAAAAGTCTACGGGAAAAAATATGTAAGATTATATTTAAATAAGAAAAAATACGAATATCTATAAAATCTACGAAGTAGATCCTATAAAAGCTTCTCAAAAATTATATACCTACAAAACTCCACAGAAGTCTAGAAACAAAACCTGCAAAACCCATAGACTCCTAAAACGTCTTGCCTCGATATCCTGAACTGTGACAGACTTGAAGGCGTCCACGATGGGTCGGTATCCTGTGCAGCGGCAGAGATTGGCGTCCAGGATTCCTTCGACGTCGGTGTCCGTCCAGCTGGATTTCTCCTGAGTCATCCTGCAGCGGTTGGTTGTTTAATGGGTGGTTGGTTGTCATTAATTAATGGTTGGTGTAAAGGATTATAAGTTTTAGTTTTGGAATTTTGTAGTACAGTATATTGTCTTTACTTTTCTTTCACATCACCACTATATATCTGGTTATATCATTATTGGACAATTACGATGATTCTATTTGTTCTTCTTACTTTCAACATCAGAGCAATAATGATCGGCAATACCTTACTGAATAATATATACAGGATATAAATAATAAGCCAACTAATGCTGTATACTGCAGCTTTTTAAGACCTCAGGACAACTGCATGTCATACCAGCAGAGATTTTCAACATACATATAAAACACATTTATTTGCACTACCTTGCCTTTAGTGACATGAAATAACACACAGACGTAGCAAGATGTTTGCCATTAATATACATAAAATAAACACACTTCATTAATTCATGAACTTACCATTATAATTTACAAAAAAAAGAAAAAAACACAGACTTTACAAGGTATGGTCCATCACACCTTGTATAATAAACACACATGTACACGGATACATAGTATATACAAATACGAATATGTAGTCCAGTATATACTGCAATACAGTAGTACAGTGCAATAC